GGCAGGCAGGTGAGCGGTTAGGAGCCAGCGGTCCAGGATTGTGAGATGGATGTCCCAGGGGTCCTGGATTGGAGAGGGTGCAGGCTGGGCTGAGGGTACCTCCCCCGCCCCCCTCCCCCCCCCCCCCGTGCACAAATTTTGTGTACCGGGCCTCTACTATACTATAATACTGTAAATACTGGTTTATAGTTGTTTTTTTAGTTTTGGAAAGCCTTATTAAAATATATTATGATTTTTGTTGTTGCTAATTGAAGAACTGGGATGAAAGAAAAAAAATGAGATTCAGTGAAGACTGGTAATGTGGCTCACTAAGGGGGGGATGATTAAATGCACTAATATAGAATAAGGAAATGCTGAACTGGGAATGATCTGGTGGTTATAAACAGTGGGTAATAAATTGGGTATGAGTCCATAATACAGTAATACAGAGTATTATTAAAAAAGCAAATGCTGTGGACAACTGGATTGCATTCATAGAATATTGTACATAAAATGAGCCAGAGCTTTAAAAAGAAGCCAACAATAAGATATTATTTTAAGAAATGCCAAGGAGCATGGACAACAGTGTGGTGATTGCGGCAGGGCAGAGGTGGAGTTGGAAGAGGGCATGGAGGGGATAAATGGTGATGGGGAAAATAAAATGAAAGAAATGCCAAGGAAAAAGATTCAGATGATTATTACTTAAATTGTAATGTGTCTAGATGAAAACATGTTAACGTTGAAAGAAAGATACAGACTAGAATTATTAAAATATCTTAAATATAAGAAAGTCTTTAACTTTGAATCCATAACAGGTTGAAAACTTCTAACTTGTAGTCCAATGTTATGAACTGTTGTCTCTTTAAAAGTAGACTTATTTCCATTTTGAATATCTATCTTATGTTAAACGGGGGCATAAACATATATAAAAACTGAAAACTGCTCATCCTATTTAATTTTGGGCCATGATCATCTAAATTATTGAAAGTATATGTTATAATTTTGCACTTTAAAATTTAGTTTCATGAGAATCAATATTTAGTGTTTAAAATATAAGCTGTTACAATTTCTGACCAAACAGATCAAGGTGGAAGATTTTATATACTCCCATTAAAAGAACATGTGCCAAAATTAAAGATGAGCACAGATACAGTTGACCCTTGAAAAACACGTTTAAAATGTGTAGATGCACTTATATGCCGATTTTTTCCAATAAATACAGAAAATGTATTTTCTCTTCCCTATGATTTTCTTAACATTTTCTTTTCTCTAGATTCCTTTTTGATAAGAATGAGGCACATAATACATATAACATACAAAATATTTGTTAATCAGCTTTATGTTAAAAGTTCCGATCAACAGTAGGCTATTAGTACAGTAGGTCCTCGGGTTTCGTGGGAGATCCGTTCCTAGGGTGCCAACGTAACGTGATTTTCGCCATCAGTCAGAACCCACCTACATAAGCACCTACGTCACTCACATGGAGCACATACACAGCAGTAATGAAGTGAAACAGTAAAAAAAAAATAAAAGAAAGATAACAATTCCTGACCTTTACTTGTGGTAAAGAAATAATAAAAAACATAAAGCACATATGTACATACGTTGAAATGATGGAACTTTTTTTTTAATAAATAATTGGGAGATGGTGACATAACCACGAAACGATGTACGTCGAGTCCAGTGTAACTGTAACTTGAGGACTGTCTGTAATTAAGTTTCAGGAGGGGTGTTAAAAATTATACGTGGGGGTTTTCAGCTGCAGGAGGAGGGTGTCAGTGCTGTAAGCCCCCCCACCACCACATTACTCAAGGGTAAACTGTATTTAGGAATAATATACTAGTAGGTGACTTGACCTGCTAAAAAAATCTATAGCTGCATTGGTAAAATGTATATATTATGTATAAAAATTACAAAAGATGGCTAGCAACTGCTCATGTGGGCTCTTACAGATTATTTCTCAGAAGCTGTGTTATGGTACATCTTATTCCTGAATGCTTTTGCAAGCCAAGTCCTCCACTTAGCTCTGGAGGATCTATTCAGGGTCTTTACTTTCTAAACAACAACAAAAACAGAGCAATATCAATGGACACAGACACTGGGGTGGTGGGGGCTTGTCCTGGGGGAGGGGAGTGGTGGTGGGGGTCAATCGGGGGAAAAGGAGACATATGTAATACTTTAAACAATAAAAAAACAAAACAAAACAAAAACCACACACACACACACACACACACACACACACACACACACACACACACAATCAACAGAGCAGCAACATATTAGAGAGCCCAATCCCTTTCTGCAAGAATACACTCTGCACACCTTTGCTAGAACAAGAGTTCAGCTCCTAAAGTATTATGAGACCTGGACCAAGCACCGGAGTTAGAGGATATGGTCTTAGCAGCACCCACTAGCTCTGTGATTGAGAGCATGTTGCTACTTCTCCAAATCACAATTCACAGGGCTGTTGAGGATAAAGCACATTTGACATGTAAATTGTCACGAGTGCTATAAAAGGTAGTTATTATTGCTGCTATTCCACTGCTCAAAAATTTATGGTACCTCCCTTTTTGTTTCCTTTACTTTTAAAAAATATTTTTTAAAATTTATTTCAGAGGAAGGGAGTGGGAGAGAGAGAAAGAAACAACAATGAGAGAGAATCATTGATCAGCTGCCTCCTGCACGCCCCCCACTGGGGATTGAGCCTGCAATCAGGGCATGTGCTCTGACCTGGAATCAAACTGTGACCTGGTTCATAGGTCAATGCTCAACCACCGAGCCACACCAACCAGGCTGTTTTCTTTACTTTTTAAATTACAAAATAATTCATGCCCAACAATCTGCCTTGATGCACGCATGATGCAAGATGATCTTTTATATGTTCTTGTATGATATCCAAGCCTTTCAGGTTACTTTAAAGTCAAATCAACATATATTTGAATTACTACTGTGTACTCTGATGTGTTCAATGGAGAAAATGGGGTGCCTTTCCTTGAGGTGGACTCATGCTGAGTTGTTGAGATGGTACACAAATCAATGCTATCAGAATCTTACCAAAAGTTAAATAATAGTTTAAGATTCAAAAACCAACTGTAATTCTAACTACAGTCCCCTCCCCACATTGCCCAGTCTCTCACTGCTCAACAAGTCACCTTATTTCTAATAGTTCCATTTTACATTGACCCTCAATTTTGAGCAAGTTAATCTGCTTGTCGTTCTCATATACTGTTTTCATATACCTTTGAATATGATATATCCACCCCTTGTGTCACCTATAAAAGATTACTTATTCCAAAAACCAGCTCACAATGAGCTGATATATCACCTGCATGCATAGGGCGTTTTCTTGTTTTGTCTTCCTTCCTTCCTCCCTTCCTCCCTTCCTTCCTTCTCTCTCTCTCTATCTCTCTCTCTCTCATCACCATTTATCCCTTCATGCCCCCTTCCCCCCCCCCCCCCCCATGCCTTTCTTTTTTTTTTTTAATTTTCCTGCCTAGCTGGGTTACAAGTTCTATGATAATATAATATCTGGTGCTTAATAGGTACTTAATAAATTCTGATGAAATGAATGAATACATGTTATTAGTTAATTGTTTAATTTTATGCCAAAACAAAAAACATTTTTATTAACAGTTTTATGATTTTAGTGGAAGTGGGACTTAACATTTACTTAGTGGCTTCTTATGCAGCTACTAATTGCGAAGTATTCTTTTGAGGCTGGAGAAAATTTCTTTTGATGGAAATGTGTTTTACTAGTTTCTTCTAGGTCATTTAAATATTTTAAATATTATAATTTTATTACATTGTCATTATATAGGTTTAGAAAATAAGGAAATAAATAAGGGGAAGTGAAAATCACCTCTAACTCTACCAAAGAATCTAACAATATTAGGCTTATATTGTACATCTGATTTTATGTCCTTTTTGCTTACTATTTTATCATAAATTTTTTCATATTATTAGTCACTTGTAATGACTACTGACTTCTTTACTGTATGGTCTAGAATTTATTCTCTTGCTGAATCTTCAGTGTTATTTTCACTCTTCTCCCACTTTTCACCTTATAAGTGGGTATTGCAGTAACATTATTGTGTAAAAATCTGTCAATGTTTCTATTCTGTAGCAGAGGTTCTTAGAGCTATTATTTTTTAAAACAAATATTTAAAAAAATTTTAAACAGAAACTGCCAAATTGCCTTCAAGTATAGTTCAGACTCCTCCCAATAAAACAATACGAATGCCGATTTCGCTATATTCATATCTGGACTACACTTTAGCAAAATACACCCAGCAGGAATTGAGGAAATATCATTTTGGGAAAATAAGAAAACTAGCATTCCTTCTAAAAGGTTGGCAATCTTTATTAACATTTATCAACACTTTTAGGCTCTGTTTCTAATTAATGTCATTTGCTTCTTTGTCTAGATTTTCTATGCAGTTCATGCCTTTGAAGCACGGAGTAACTGTGAACTCAGCCTTCAGGAATACCAAAGAGTTCATATACTTAGATTTTGTGATCTGAGTGGCAATAAAGAGTGGTGGTTAGCTGAAGCTCGAGGGCAGAAAGGATATGTGCCAGCTAACTACCTTGGAAAGATGACTTACGCTTAAGAAAATCAGACTTCTGGCTTACTTAAAAGTGAAGATATTCTGAATGTGTTCTTTACCATCATGAAAGGTTGACTCTAAGGACAAGGTTTTTTTCAACTTACTGTATTTTATTTTTCTGTATTATGTATTTCACCATAAAAATGTTGTTTTTCGCGTCTCTTTGTTGCACATCCTTACACACACATATCCTATATAATAAAAGCCTAATATGCAAATTGTCACTTCAACTGGAAATTCGACCAGGAGTTGAAATGGGAGTTCGACCAGGGGGCAGGGCCGGCTGGCCAACCGCAGGAAGGGAGGCCCCAGCCAGCGGCGGCAGGCAAGCAGCCAGGGGAAGGGAGGCCCCGGCTGCTGGCAGCCGCTAGGGACCCTACCCATGCATGAATTCCATGTCCTGAGCCTCTAGTATACCATATTCATTATATGGTTTACATATACATATATGTACTACATGGTATAGATTATACACATATATACATCAACCAGGGAGTACACTAAATACATAAAAATAGGAATTGATAATTAACAGCAACTAGAAGTCTGATGTGGGGCCTCTTTTTAAGTTTTGAATGAAAAAAAAATTGAATAACATAACATGTTAATATTTACTAAATGAATACCAAATGCCAGACATTGTCCTAAATGCTTTATATGTGGTAACCTATTTGATATAACATTGTGAGGACACTGTGGCCCAAAGAGGTGACTTTAGCCCAATTCACATTGCTAGTAAGTGGTAGGGTGGGGCCTCAAACCTAGGTCTGGTTCTGGGGTTCACACTGCACTACACTATCCTAACCCTCTAGGAGTGTAGACATTTGCTATCACAAAACACTCAGTGATGCAAATAATGGGCACTGATGAGGCCCATTTTCCTCTCAGGTCCGTATTTAGGTATTGAGGAGCTTTTCAAAATCAAGGGCTACAAGAACTTCCATGATACTAGCCTAGAGAAAATGACATATCTAGGTTATTTGTTTTTACTGTTTTGCTTAAACATTTTTGAAAGAACAATTGTTTAAAAGCTTCCCTACATGATTGCTAATGATATTTTAATGAGAAAATATTTTTGGATCACTCAGTTATTTGGATGATGAATGGGGAATGTGTGTTCCATGTTCTGAGCCAAGATGCAAATAGTTTTGGTTGCCGATTTGTACTTAGACAAGGCAGGCACTGAGGTTAACGTCTGCTGTAACACAATGTCCTAGAACACTGAACTTTAATTTAGGATTAGCTCAGAACAGTCCCCTAAGATCTCAGGCATAGTTTGTCAAGATATTTTGTTGAACTAAAGATGCTTCTATGGAACAGAAAAAAAACATTTAATTAAATTTGACTTAGTGGTTTCCTTTAAGAACCAAAATAAGGTGGACTTTCATTGTCCACATAAAATGTGCTAATATGACATCAAACTTCAAGATTAAAATTACTTTAAAAGATTTGATCTGTATAATGTACAGTTATGTCTACTCCTGAGGAATACAAATAACAAAATGAAAGTGCTGCTTTTCAAAGGGCTGCTGACTTTTACTTACATATATGTACATCTATAGATATTAAGACATTTACATGACAGAAATTTTCACATTGTATGTAAAAGTAGCCCCTTATTATCCACATGGAATCTATACTAATAAAAGGGTAACATGCTAATTAGGACAGATGTCTTCCGGATGTCCATCCAGACGTCCATCTGGACAAAGCCACAGCAGCTGTGAGGCCTGGGGCTCATGGCAGCCATGGGCTCAGGCAGCCATGGGCTCAGGCAGCTGTGAGGCCCAGGGCTCAGGCCTTGCAGCCGCTGTGGCCAGCAGTGGCAGCAGCAGCAGCGTGGTGATGGGGGCGGTGCCTTCCCCTGATCAACCTGGTCACCTCCCGCAGAGGGAGGCCATTCCCTGAGGGCTCCTGGACTATGAGAGGAGTAGGCCAGGCTGAGAGATCACCCCCCAGTACATGAATTTTCCTGCACCGGCCTCTAGTATCTTATAAGACCCCAGTGGATGCCTGAGACCTCGGATAGTACGAAACCCTATATCAGGGGAGGGGAACCTTTTTTCTGCCAGGCACCATTTGGATATTTATAACATCATTCATAGGCCATACAAAATTATCAACTTAAAAATTAGCTTGCTATATTTGCTTAAACATTTTAATTAACTCACCCCTATGCTTCGGGGCAGGGACAGACCAAATGATTTCGTGGGCCTTATGGGTCCTGGAGGACAAACATTCCCCACACCTGCCCTATATAAACTATGTTTTCTCCTATACATACATACATATAATCAAATTTGCTTTATAAATTAGTCACAGTAAGAGATTAAAACAATAACCAATAATAAAATAGAACAATTATAACACGATACTGTAATGAGTTATGTGAATGTAGTCTCGCTTTCAAAATATCTTATTCTACTGTATTCACCCTTCTATTGATGTAAGATTATACAATGATGAGATGAAGTGAGGCGAATGGGTGACATTATAGGTATTGTGATGTAGCATTAGGCTACTGTAAGCACTGGGATACCAACAGTCGATCTGATAACCTAGAAGACTACTGAGTGACTAATAGGTAGGTAGAATAACAACGTGAATATGCTAGACAGAGGGGTGATTCCCATCCCAGGCGGGATGGAGCTGGATGACATGAGATTTCATCACACTACTTAGAACGGAGCACGATTTATAACTTGTGAATTGTTTATTTCTGGAATTTTCCATTTAATATTTTTGGACTGTGATTGACTGTGGGCAAATGAAACTGGATAAGAGGGAATATTGTTCTTAAAATTCTTAATCTGTATATGGTTTCATAAGGTTCTACTGGTAACTCATTTTTGCATGAACTATTTTCTTGTTTTGAGTTGGGTACCAAAAGAAGACTCTCTTTCTTAAATGTACAGAAACTTTTTATGTCTTTGAAATGGTTCTTTGTACCCAATAATAAAATATCGGTAAATTCCAGTTTGCCTAGGCCCTAGGGCAGTGATGGCGAACCTATGACACGCGTGACATGCGAACTCATTTTTTTGGTTGATTTTTCTTTGTTAAATGGCATTTAAATATATAAAATAAGTATCAAAAATATAAGTCTTTGTTTTACTATGGTTGCAAAGATCAAAAAATTCCTATATGTGACACGGCACCAGAGTTAAGTTAGGGTTTTTCAAAATGCTGACACGCCGAGCTCAAAACGTTCGCCATCACTGCCCTAGGGTAAAGCAAAAGGAAATCCAAATTTGCTACTTGTGGAAACTATGAACATACTCTGAAACCAAGATAGTGGGGAAATTTTACATATATATTTATAATTTATATATATGTATGTATGTATATATATATTTATATTTATATATAAATATGATTTAAATTGTGACCTTAATACTCCCCCCTTCCCCCAATGCAGAATTACATAACTAGAGTAGCACATTTATTTGTTTTTCTGGCTGAAGTACTGACTAGATCAGTGGTTCTCAACCTGTGGGTCGCGACCCCTTTGGGGGTCGAACGACCCTTTCACAGGGGTCGCCTAAGACAATCGGAAAACACATAAATTACATATTATTGTTTTTGTGATTAATCACTATGCTTTAATGTTCAATTTGTAACAATGAAAATACATCCTGCATATCAGATATTTACGTTACGATTCATAACAGTAGCAAAATTACAGTTATGAAGTAGCAACAAAAATAATTTTATGGTTGGGAGTCACCACAACATGAGAAACTGTATTAAAGGGTCGCGGCATTAGGAAGGTTGAGAACCACTGGACTAGATGTATACGAGAAGCTTTATCCATTTGTGTGGGCCTAGGACTGATGCTTCCTGTCTGACCTTTGAAGGAGCCACACCGGAAAAATCATAGCTTCAGTCAGCGGCTGAGCAAGAGTTGTAATGAAGCACCTACTACAGTCCCCCCTCTGGTGCTGAACATATATTACTGTAAACGACGTTGTTGCTATTTTAAAACCACAACCTACATTTAATTTGCCATTTAAGCTTTATTTAAAAAAATATTTTTACATTATACAATAATCTCATTATTTTAGTATATTGTTTAAGATCAAGTCATTGTAATTTTAAGGCCAGACATTATTTCACTGGGCCTAAGGGAAATAAAATCCCAAGATAGTTAAGGTGTGTATAAGTTTTCAAAAGTCTTCATAAATAAAGTTGTTGGTGAGAAATGCTAATGTAATTATTTACATTTTTAAAATTAAATGTTATTGTACAGTATTCTCTGAAATAGGTATTTTTTGCCAAGAACAAAAGGAAAAATTTTTGTGGCTATTTTTCTTTGTAAAACAAATAAGTGTATACATACATTTTATTTAGTATTTATTTTTAAATACATGACTTAAATTAATATGTATATATAATAAAGTTTAGAAATTATAAAAATCCCAGTAATACAAAATTACCATGGGTGCTTAAAACATGGGAGAAAAAATCACAAAGCCACTATTTGAACATTCCTTATATTTCAGAATATCTTGTTTTAGTATTCATTAGTATAAAACAATTCTATGAAGGTTCTGTTGTGCAGAAGAGATATAGTGCACATTGTTAACTATATAAATGCAGCACTGCATAAAATACTGTAAGTGCTGGCATAGTCCACATTTTGTCTAAAATATAATTTGGACATTTACAGATGACCATTTAAGTGCCAGTCACTATCTGTGATGAATAGTTCAGATGAGTTACACAAGTTATACTAGTAGTGGAAATTATAACTTTTTACTTTTCCCATAAGCTTCCTTTTGTCCACTGTAAAAATCTCTTAAATTCATGTGAATTTAGAGAGGAAATCTTTATCTTCTAAGATGGCAAAAAAACCCCACTTTGTTTAAATCCTGTTTGTTGTAACTATGGAGACCAGCCAGGCCTGGGAGAGGGACAAACCACCTGCCCCGCAGTCCTGGGCGCCAGCATCTGCGCCTGCGGCTGGGAGAGGGACAATCTGCCTGTCCTGCAGTCCTTAAGGTCCTGGTGCCAGGACCTGTGGATGTGGCCCGGGAGAAGGACAAGCCGCCTGCCCCATGGTCCCAGGTGCCAGTGCCTGCAGCTGCGGCCTACGCAAGCTGCCCACCCATGAACCCCTGTGGCTATAGCCAGCCCGGGTGAAGCTGGCCCGGGTCCTGGGTGCCTGCGGCCAGCCAGAGGGAGGGAATCCTGGGTCTCGGGTGCAGGGCAAGGCAGGGGTGGTT